TATCTTTATGCTATACGAACGTTTAACAGTTTAACTATTAGGTTGGCCACGATTGAAATGTCGTTTTCGATCATCAATTATTTTCATTATAAAAACAATAATGAAGCACATCAACCTGAAACATCTCCTTCACCTGTGTCACAGGCTCATCACCTTTTGTTACGCAAAGCATGGATGGCTACCGCGTAGAACTCTTTCTGGTTCGACTCGAAGAAGTTGGGCACTCAAATTTTGACGTCGTCGCGGTTATCGAATTGGTTTGCTGCTAAGGAGTGTTGCGCTTAGGCTGGTGTCAGAGTCCGCGATCCGTCGCAGGTTTCGCTGATTTTCGCGATTTGCGCGATTCACGCGATTGCGACGGATCGCAAAAATTGCAAGTGTGAACATTTGAAACACTGAATATGAAACAAGTGGAATCATGAGCAGTCGTCATTCAGCCATCACTATCAAGCAGAAGTGGCGGCAGGATTGGAGAACACCTTGCAGTATTGATCGGGCACTTGTGATTTCCGTGACCCGTCGCGTGAATCGCGCAAATCGCGAAAATCAGCGAAACCTGCGACGGATCGCGGACTCTGACACCAGCCTAAGGCCTTGTCAGAGGGGCTATTTTATAGGGCAGTTTCGAAATAAAGCGGCAGCGCACACTAAGGTGGTGCCAGAGTCCGCGATCGTCGCAGGTTTCGCTGATAGCGAAGCGTAAAAATCGCTCAAATCATCGAAACCAGCGACAGATCGCGTACTCTGACATTAGCCTAACGCTGGTGTCAGAGTCGGCGATCCGTCGCAGGTTTCGCTGATTTTCGCGATTTGCGCGATTCACGCGACGGGTCACGGAAATCACAAGTGCCCGATCAATACTGCAAGGTGTTCTCCAATCCTGCCGCCACTTCTGCTTGATAGTGATGGCTGAATGACGACTGCTCATGATTCCACTTGTTTCATATTCAGTGTTTCAAATGTTCGGGCACTTGCAATTTTTGCGATCCGTCGCAGGTTTCGCGCAAATCGCGAAAATCGCGCAAATCGCGCAAATCACTGAACCTGCGACGGATCGCGGACTCTGACACCTAGCCTAAGCCTTGGGGCGCATTCATAGTTGGTCGTCCAGTCGTAACTAACGTGACGATCGATTAGGGTTAGATACGTATCGGCCGTTCAACCCTTAGGCGCGTCTGACGACGATACGCTTCCATGATCAACGATCGTTACGATCGCTATGATCGGACACGGCTCCCAGACAATACCTAACCATTTGGGCGCGGCCGCGGCGAACGCGGCCGAGTTGATAGGTGCCCGCGAACTCAGCACAGCACAGTTCGCGGGCACCTCGAGTGCGTTTTCAACGGTTCGCGGGCACAATCGACTCGGCCGCGTTCGCCGCGGCCGCGCCCAAATGGTTAGGTATTGTCTGGGAGCCATCGGACACTAACTATGAATGGGCCTCTGGAGGCGCAGACGAACGGAGCGCCGCGCCACGGCGTGGCCCCTCCAACTACGTTAACACCCGGACCGGCGCTATGTGACTCGAGGGGGGCCAGTCGCCGCGCGCGGCCGTGCGGCAACAGGAAATTCGAACATTCCGGCTTCTCACGGAACATTCCAGCTTCTCACGCATGTCATGTGACTGCCCTCACCCCCAACCCCCCTGAATTGGCTACACTCCCCCTGGCTCACGAATTTCCTGTTGCCGCACGGCCGCGCGCGGCGACTGGTCCCCCCCCCGAGCCACATTGCGCCCCCGGACCTATTACTTTCGATGTTCAGGATCAAATAAAACTTAGAGAATGTAAAGCGCTACAAACAACTACAGCGGAACACATAGGCTTTGAAGATAGTGCAAAGACGGAACATCAAACATTCAACAATGGTTATTTGCAAAAACACTTAACCCTGACCAATTGTTCTCGAAGCAAACTTTAAAAACCTACATCATTAAAATTGTTATGCTATGTTGCTCCAGCAATGAATAATGTGCAAAACTCAGCATAATCAGGGTTTGCGTTGCGGGACCATGTAAACTCTTCCGAATTTTCTCGGCGGCTGTCGTTGCTGCAGCCTGCTCAGGCTTTCCCTGTTACACTGTATTGGGTGCTTGTTTCTTTTCAACCGTTACGATCTAAGAGACATTGCACTTAAGGGTTGAGCGCGGTTAACTTGGGTTCTCTGGAAAAATGGCGATGAACATTCCGAAGTCCGGCTACAATCGTTTTATGAAAGAAGGGGCACAGGTTAGTTTTGATATTGATGCTTACTTTCCACCTCTCGAAAGACCTTTCATTACAGCACTTCAAAGGTACTGATGAGGCTGTGCTGCGAAATATTGAGGCTTGTGTGGAATTGGCGTCACAGCTGAGATCAGCTTATGGACCAAATGGTATGTCTCCTTTGCTTGATTGTATCGCTCTCTACTGAGTAGTCGTTTGTTGCTTGTCCATGAATTGTCCACATTCAGGCATGAACAAAATGGTTATCAATCACATCGAGAAATTGTTCGTAACAAATGATGCCGCTACAATTCTGAAAGAGCTCGATATACAACATCCGGCTGCTAAAATTATAATTATGGCAAGTCAAATGCAGGAGAAGCAGGTCAGCTATGCTCCTGACGGTATTATTCTGGCCCAGGATTCATTGTACTATATTTTGTCTGTGAAAAGAGAACTCCTCTAGAACTCTGAAATTTTATAGTATTTCCTCACAACAATTTTTCTCCACCAATCCATTCGGGGAATCTGTTTTTTTTTTGTGAAAATGGCGCTATTGTCGTATACGGGCATCCTCAAGGACTAAGCCTAGTAGGGGCAGGAATTTCTGAGAGAAGGAAAATTGCTGACGCACCCTGGAGTCTCTCCTCCCCCGCCTAAGGATTGGTCCTGCTTCCAACAAAAAGAATATAGTTTACGCGATTTCAAATGCATTGCCACCATAACGCCCCCTTCTCTCGCGATAGCGCGTGAAACTTTTTCTTTTATCCTGATCAAGGTCATTTTGATACGAGGAGCATGTGAAGCAGCTCCCAATATTTTGTCGCAGAAGAACGACTAAAATGTTCACTGCATGCCAAGATAAGGTTTTTTGAGAAGAAAGGCTTACGATAGGGTTACAC